TACACACAGACTCAGACACACACACGGACACACATTCAGAGACACACAGGCACACACACACCCCTAAACAGTACCTGAGCGTTGTCAGGTAGCTTTGTTGTTATCTGTACGGTACTTGTGAGGAAACGGAAGCTCCGAGGGGTAAAGAAGCCTGTCTGAGGTCACCCAGCTGGTTAGCAGCAGGGCTGGGGCCAGAATCCATCCCTCTGAACACCTCACATGCTCTTTGTCGAGTTTAAATTTGACTCAAATCATAATAATAAATGAATAATATTATTAGTGTTTTTACTAGTTTCCTACTGCTGCTGTAACAAATTACCACAAACTTAGTGATGTAAACACCACAAATGTATTTTCACACAGTTCTGGGGGTCCCAAGTCTAAAATGGGACTTGGGCTACAATCAAGGTGATGGCAGGGCTGTGATCCTTCTAGAGGCTCTAGGGGAAATTAGGCTTCCTGGCCTTTCCCAGCTTCCGGAGGCGCCCGCACCCCTTGGCTCGTGGCCACTCCCTGCTGCTGCATCTGAGACAAGAGCACACAGCGTCTGCTCTTACTCTTCCATCTCCTTTCTCTGGCTCTGAATCCTTCCCCTTTCACTTATTAGGACTCCTGTGATCTTACGGGACCCCACTGGATTACCCAGGGTAAGTGCTCCGTCTCACGGTCCTTAACTTAATCACATCTGCGAAGTCCCCTTGCCGTATCAGCTCACATTTGCTGGTTCCAGGGATGAGGATGTAGACGCCTTTGGGGCAGTAGGCAGAATAATGATAAATAACAAATAATTTGCTTATAAGAGCAACCCACAGTCTTGCTGGGAGCCTGTGCTGGGACATAATTGGTAGGTCCTCGGGGCATGGTACACCTGAGCTGATGGCACTGGACAGGGGGGCCAGTGTTTCTGCCCTATACTCTTAATTCACAATCTCCTATTCTGTGACTTTTTTTAAGATTTTATTTATTTGAGAGAAAGAACACAAGCAGAGGGAGAGAGAGGGAGAAGCAGGCTCCCTGCTGAGCAAGGAGTCCAATGTGGGACTCGATCCCAGAACCCTGGGATCATGACCCAGGCCGAAGGCAGCCGCTTAACCGACTGAGCCACCCAGGCGTGCCTGTGATGTTGTTTAATGAGTAAACAATACAACTATGCATGTCATGTGCGCTCCAGAAGCTTCAAGAGAATGCTCAAGATAGTTGCTCTAAGGTGAGTACAAAAAGGAGCCAAAGCAGATATTTAGAGGTGGTCACAACCTCAGCTCCCAGAGTCCAATCCTCCTTACTTTCTAGGTAATATTACTGGCCCAGAGAGGTAAAATAATGGGCCCATGGTTACCTGGCAAGTCAATGGTAGAACCAGAACTTAAAGTCACATCCTTGACCCTGATTTCATGTTCTTTCCATGTCATATGCTTCTCTAAAAGCTGCTCCAATATGTCCACCAGAGACCACCTACTGTGGTAGCTGAGCTTGTCCATCAGACAGCTCCTAATGCCGTGGACATGGACTTGCACCCCTGGGAGCGCCAGCTGTACTAGGACAGCTTGGCAGGAACCTGTCCAGTGCAATCTTCCACGAACACAAAACACCTCTGTACCCTTCTACTTTGACCTTACCATCTGCATGGATTTTGCCTCTAACACCAAGCTGCATCAAGTCTGTTTCAATGTAAAAATGTGTTTCTTTTTTTGCCAAGCTTTTTAGAGAAAGGACACTTGGGGAAGGTGTCCTGGGTTTCTACTACGGTTCCAAATACTGCCCACAAATCTGGCTTGAGCAGCACACCCTTCTGAAAATCTTCCAGGCTTTTCACTTGGCTTTAAATTATTTATTATAAGCAGGATAGTCAATTCATCTCCTGGCCAGCAATTTTCCCTTTTTCTGACCAAATGCCTTCCTTTAAATACCTGCAAGTCCCCGTCTCTGCTTTGAGAGGGTTTGATGAGAATAAATGACATGAAGCCTCCACGTCTTGGCCCACCTCCAACAGGCTGCGCTCCAGAAGTCAGAGGAGTCTGTTTTTCTCTCCCCTCCTTATTCTTACTTTTTTTTTTCTGTTTCTTTTTGTAAAACTCATCTGAAAAGAGGTCTAACAGACATCTGACTTGAATATGGGGCTTTGTAAATATGGCCTCTCTCTTCAAGTCCAGCCTATTTTTCATTAAGGAAACTCAGAGAGAAACTAGGTATGTGCAGTAAGTGTCACTTCCCCCAGAAGACCTAGAGAGGCAAAACGACTGGATAGAGGCTAATGGAGAAAATGTAAATCTGCCAGAAAGGGAGACCCTCTGCGGCCTGTGTTGGGAAAGGCCATTCATTGCACATCTCACCAAGCCTTTGTCCTGAGCAGGCAGGGCCCTTGAAACCAGGCATCTCGGGCCACACCCAGGATCTGTACCTTATTAGCTGGGAATAAAAAGAATAGCACCAAGAATGGCAATGATCCCATCACCATTCCCGGCGATGGGGGAAGGCACTATAGGTCTGGAATGTACCAAGCGCTTCACGCCCATCAGTTAATTTTTGCATACCACCACAGGGGGCTTTTTGATTAAGCCCCTTTGCCTGGTCCAGGAAAGGGGCTAAGACAGTGAGGCAGAATGCTGCTGTGGGGCCCCACTGGTTCACAGCACCCCCTGAGTCTGCATCCTTGGGGGTTCAGGTCCCTCCGACATTGATGGTGCTCCTGGTCATAGGACTTGTCTTGGCCAATGGGACACTGACAAACGTGCCATGAGCAGTGACTTGACAGGTGCTTGCACGTGGGGTCCTGCCCCTGGTACCACTCTTTGGCACTCTGAGAAACCCGAGGGAAGACTGGGCCGCCCTACATAAGGCAGGCTGAGAGACCATGTGGAGGTGAGATGAGCTGGCCCTGCTGGGATCCCCTGAGACCAACCCAGCTGCCAACAACCAAACAGGTGAGTGAGACCATCTGAAGTCACCCTGCTGCCCACATTAGAACGGCCCCACCAGCTCAGGGAACTCCAAGCTCAGCAAAACGGTTATTGCTTGAAGCCATTACCTTCCCGTTGTTGTTGTTGCTGTTTTAAACGTAGCAAAATCTAACTGATACAAAGTAATGAAATTAAGCTAGGTGAGTGGGAAAACGCAGTGTGAACACGCAGCCCTCAGCCTTAACCACTTTACTGTCCCACGTCTCTGAGCCTCAGTGTCCTTGATGTAAAATGACAAAGTAACGGTCCTTCAGCATTAGCAGGCGATCAGAGCAGAAGAAACCATGAACAGGACTGGTTAATTGTAAAACACCACACAAACTCCAATTAACATTTTCTATAGCCAACTCCTTTCTACTCGAATACCAAGACAGAGCAGTAATTTCACCCCAAGTCTGGTTATTACTAATCCTGAATATTTCCTGCCAGCAGAGCAGGGAAGGGACAGGAAGTCTTCTGCCCTGAACTTCCTCAGGCCCTCACTCTCCTGCTTACCTCTCCTTGATGTATACTTGTTGTTTAGCTCACTCCCAAAGCCTGGTGCCTGCAGCATGCAAGAATTAGCAAGGAAGGGAATTAGCCTTTAACAAGCTCACAGGTTACGACAGCATTTGGCAGATATATATAAATATGTGCGTGTGCACATAGGCACACACATATGTATACACACACATATACATACGGCATCATGTCAACGTTATGACAACCCTTCAAAGTAGGTATTGTTATTGCCGTTTTACAAATGGGGAAACTGAGGCTCAGAGCCATTAAGCAACTTGCCAGAAGTCGGTAATTGGCAAGCTCCAACACAAAGGCAGACATTTCTAATCCAAACGCTTGCAATCTTTCCACAAATGCCTACAAGTAATACCTTACAGACTTGCAATATTTAGAAAAAAAGCAGGGTTGGTTGGTTGGTAGGCTGGTTTTAACAATATATTTTGAGGCTCCTGCTCTCTCACACCCCACAGCCAGTAGCCAGGGGCATCTTGCTGCCTCCTGGCCGCCATCTTGCCCCCCATGGCTCTCTCCCCTGGACAACTGGCTCCCTGATTCCACTCCTGCCCTCCTTTAAACTCTTCTCTACGCAGAAGCAGGAGGAATCTTACTGAAACACAAAACCAGCTCATGTCACATTTCTCTCAACCCTCTTCTGGCTTCCCATCGCCCTTGGAACAAATCCTACAAGGCGCTACATGATGTGACCGGCCCCTCTTCAACCTCATCTGCAACCACTGTCCCCCAGCTCACCGAGCTCCAGCCATGCTGGCCCCTCACTCTCCCTTTAATGTACCAAGCACGACTTCATCTCAGGGCGAGTACACTCTTCTCTTGGTCAAGAACCCAATTCCCCTGATATTCACTTGGTTCTCACTCTTGGTTCATTCCGGTCTCTGCTCATACGTTTCCTCCACTGAGTGGTCCTCCCTGGCTGGACTATCTAAAATACGTCCCACTATCCTCCTGTCCTGCTTCATTTTTTTCCTAGGGCTTGCTACTACCTACCTTATGTATCCAGTTATGTATCCATCCACCCACTAGAATGTAAGGTGCGGGGGTAGGGACTGGGGGATTTCATTCACCACTGTGTCCCCCACATGGAGAACACCCGGCACAGCAGGTGATCCATAAACGAATGCTCAGGGAATACATGAAAGAATGAATAAGTCAGAGGCCCAGACAGGAAACACAACCCTCATCAAAAACTCCCTGGAAACCACAGACAACCTTGGAATATGAATTTTATAGTGAAGATGACAAAGCAAAAGGCATCCCATACTGAAGACCATCCAGGTCTCTGGAGTTGACTTGGATCTCTCCCACTTAGTATTTCTCAGTTAGCATGCTGGAGCCTCATGAGTGGTTCATCTCATGGGACTGGCCCCCTTTATGCAGACTTTTTGCATCCTTGGTCCCTGACAACTCAATACTAGTAGGAGCCCAGTCATGTGACAGCTCCAAACACCACTCTTAAACACCACCGAAAACCACTTTGAAACACCCCTGAGGATCATGACCAGCTCTGCCTGGGTGAAGGCTCACCTCCATCCACGCCCATGATGAAGCGTCCCACAATGAGCATTTCGAAGACTCCTGCCTGCAGAGAACAGGCCATCAGCAATGCAGCAGAAATTGCAAATCCATTGTTGACCAGCAGAGTGTACTTCCTGGAAAAAAAGGGTGGTTTGATGAGAAGGTCCATCATGAGGACGTCAACCTACCCATCCAAGGAGCAGGGGTCAGGCCCTTCAAAATGGTCAGCAGAGCAAGACTCAGGCACAGTAGAAAAGCGTTGGCCTAAGGGTCAGGAACAGGGGCCAGAGCCCCAGGAGCCCCCACTGCCCTTTTTGGCTGTGTGACCCTGACCAAGGCATTCCTTCCTCTGGGTTCACCACCAGGGCTGATTAGGCACTGTTGCGATCTATGAACTCCCCGACGCACTACTCTATGGCACCAATTCTAAGACCTTCACTTAACATTTTTGAAGTCAATGTGTGTCTACAATCCATGAGTCAGAACTCAAGCAGGGAAATGGAAAGCACTCTAGTGCTTTTAACAGAGAGAATTTAACATAGTGAGTTGGTTAGGCAGGCACTGGGGAACTGAGATGTCAAAGGGGGATCTCTGAAGAGGGGTGCTGCCCATATGGTGCTGACACTTTGGGGGGCTTGGAAGAGGGGCTCTCAACACCTGGCTTACCTTCAAGGGTGGGCAGCGGCCCACTGGGGCTGCTACCCTGAGGGGCACCATGTTCTGGGGAGGAGACATAAGCTGGCAACTAGACTCAACTGCCAAGTTCACTGCTGGGACTGGTAGGAAATTCAACCAAACCAAAAGGACCAAGCTCTTTGTCCCTCCTCCTCTAATTCCCCTCTTGTCAAAGGGCAGATGAGGCATGCAGGTCCCAGCCCCTGCATCACAGAGCATTGAGGGTAAGTGTGGAGCTGAGAGATAATAGCTTAATAACCAGCACAGTATCCTATACCTTTAATTGGCAGGTTTTCTCTTTCTCTTTCTTCCTCCCTCCATCCCTCCCTTCCTTCTCTGCAGTTCATGTAACAGGGTTTCTTATATGTGATGACATCTTCAATTTGATGAACTACAGCACTAATTGTGAGGTTGAACTAATCCTCTTGAACACGGTCAGCCAAACCCCTATGGCAATATTACTATTAGCCGCTCTGTGCCACGACACCAATCACTATTCCATGAACATATCCCTGAGACCTCATGCTTGAGAGGCGTGACTTGTTTGGGGGCCTACAGACCTGGGTCCCTGCACCAGTTGTAGCTTTTATGAGCTAGGTGACTTTGTACTTGATTGCTCTGTGTTTTCCTTTCCTCACTTACAAAATGATCATAATAGCTCACACTTACTGAACTCTTGCTATATGATAAACCCTGTTCTAAGCACTTTACATGAATAGCTGATTTGCTGCTCAAAATGATCCTACGAGGTAGGTACTTTATTATCCCTATTTTATAGATACATTAACCAGGATATAGACAAGTTGGAAATTTATTTTAGGTCATACAACTAGTGAGTCAAGAAGCTAGAGAAAAACATCATAGCTTCTCACAGGATATTTTTTCCCTAATGATTCAATGAGTTAACAAATATTAAATTATTTTGTAAATTGCAAGAAGCTAGGGACTTCTAAGGGGGCTTGGTTATTACTTTTGGGAGTTAGGAACACTTAAATTCCAGGCTGGGGCTCTTTACACTAGTTTTTACTTATCTCAAACTTTCCATTAAACTTTTTCCTCTTCCTACATCTTCTTGGAGAATCCCAATGCTAATGACTTTTGCAGCTCAGTGATGATGGTACAAAGACTACTCATTGCAACGTCCTCTATATTGGTGCACAACTTCTAATGGTGAACAACTGAAACAACCCAAGTGTCCTTTAGCAATGGACTATTTAAGTAAATTATGCATCTATATAATGGCAATTATGCACACACATCAAAGCACAAGTGGGAAGATCAAGATATATTGTTAAATGCAAAGGGCAGGGTACAGAACTTTGCGTATAATATGCAACAATTTGTGTGATAAAGAAGTGTGTGTGTGGGGGTGTGGGGGTGCATGTGTGTGTGCATGCAGAGATAGACACAAACCTTGGAAGAGATACACAAAAAAGTGGCACCACAGGTTGCCTCCAGGAAGGGGATCTGATTGGACAGAAATGCAATGGAAACTTTCTACTTGACATTCATTTGGTCCTTTTGAAAGTTATGACATATGAATGTATTAATTATTCAAAATATAAATATAATCTCCCAGTCAAAAAATTAATTTAAATGGATGTCATAATGAGGGGAAATTATGATTTGGCCAAGACTTAAAATAGAAATTCTAACCTAGGCTGACCACCCTTATTCCAACGCAGAAGGTCACAAACTCAGGCTTCAATACGATGAACCCAAAGGCACTAATTTCAGTTATTAGGGAGACCTCAAAGCACAATGAGAACACGCTGGTGCCCCATGTCTGTGCAGTGCTCACGGCCCTTCCCTTCAGTCTTCGGAGGAACTGACATGTCAGCCTTAAGAAGAGAGCAGGGTGGTGGTGGGAAGACCTGCCCCCTCAAGGCATCGAGGGCTTTCACAAGCATATGCACTTGGCAAATATTTAGTGAGTGCTAGACATTGGGTTTACCATCAAGAGTAAGTCATCCCTGTCCTCACCCTCACGGGGTTTTAAAGCTAGTGAGGGACACAGAAAAACACGGTGTCACACAGACGTCAATGAGGAGTAAAGATACTGAGGCTGAGAGCGTATAAGTGGGACCTGTGCCTGTCACTGGCCTGTCTCTCCAGGGAGTCCTTCCATGCCCTGCTGTCTCAAAGGGAACTACATTTCCCAGGCTCCCTTGCTTCCCGGCTCCCTGGTAGGACTGGCCAATGAGAGGTCTGATGTTAGTCTCCCCTGGGGAAGAGGAGAGGCTTGGTATCTCCCTCCCTGTCTCCCTGCTCCCACCGCAGCAGGTGCATCTGCTCCGTGGCCCCAGCCTTCTTTCTGTGGTGCCAGCCACCTGCCCCCCGCCACCGAGTGGGCCTGGCTCGTGGGCCCCAGCAGTGCCTCCCATCCCAGGCATGGTAGCAGCTTGTCTGTGAAAAAGGGATTTCTCACAACAAGCCAAAATGTTCTCCCTGTAGCTCCATCTCTGGTCCCAGTTCCGCTTCTTGAGACCTCACAACACAAATCCCTGTGGATGCAGAGTCCAGTGTAAGTTAAGTTTGTGAAGAGGTTGTTGAGAGAGGGGAGGCAAGAAAGGAATGATGAGGCCAGACTCAGAGGGCTCTTGGATGTTGAGCAAAACAACATGTTGCATAACCCGTAGACAGCAAGAAATAAAGGGCTGGGTCAGAAATCAGACCTCGACTCCTATGCAGTCCAGTTAAACTGGACTTTTGATGCTAGGATGGTAGTCATGATAGTCATAGCAATAATGTTGGCATTAGTTGGTGGTTCTCAGGGCTGGCGGCTGATCAGATCCACCAACAGCACAGAAAAAGAGAGACTCTTGGGTCCATCCCTAGAAAATCCCAATCCTTGATGCAGACTCAATGAGAGACCTTTAGAAGAGTCTAGAAAGAGCATGGCTTTTACATAAATTATCTCATTTCGTTCATTTCCTCTTTCACACCGGTAGCCAGCAGCATCCGTGAACTGGACAACTCACAGAGAAGGAGATGGGGGTGTTACAAGGTAGGGGCCGCTCGGATGTGGCTAAAACTGCCCAGACAGGGAAGACACATCAGTCTCCTGTGCATGGCTGTCCGCTACCAGAGAGAATCCACTCCTCCACCCCATCATTCCCATACGAACACGGCTACTGTGTCTTGGCCCTCATCCCTCTGCAGCCACTGCCCCTTGTCTCAGCTTCCTTTTAGAGTGAAACGCCTTAAAGAATATTGTCTGCTCGCCTCCCCTTCTTTCCTCATCCCACTTTGATTGGATCCTTGCTACCACTCCACGGAGACTGCCTTCGTGAAGATCATGAGGAACACGCACCCTGACAAACACAGCTGACAATGCTGTCTCCCCCGGGACAGTTTCTCAGCAGCATCTGATATGGTTGACCATACGCTCTTTCTGGAAACACAATCTTCTTGGGACATCTGGGATCCCACCCCCTCTTTTCTCCCTGCTGACCTCCCCTTCTCAGTCTCAAGGCTGGTCTGTCCTCTCTCTCTACACTCCCTCCCTGGGTAATTTCACCCAGTCCTGTTACCTTAATTGATGACAATTCCCAACTATATCTCTGGCCTGGACTCATCTTAGCCCAGACTTACATATCCAACTGCCTCCTCAGCATTTCCACTTGCAGGTCCAGCAGGCATCTCAAGCCACGCATATTTAAAATGGAACTCTTGAGTTCCCACTGCTGACCCCCCAACAAATACATCCAAACCCCTCTTTCCTCAGTCTTCCCCATCTGAGTAAGTAAAGCCTCCACCTTCCTAGTGGCTTAGAACAAAAATCTGGGAATAATACTTCCCTCTCTTATTTTCCTTCTGACCTACATGCAGTCCATCACCGATTCTTACTGATACTGCTTCCAAAATATATCCCAGAGCAAAGCACTTCTCCCATTTTCAGCCCACAGTGCCGCAGTGGTGCAGACCACCGACTTCTCACACTCCAACAAATGCAGGGGCCCTGGGTAGCTCCAGCTTCCACTCGTGCCCTGCTGTATAACTCATGGTCCACACAACAGCCAGAGTGATCCTTTGACAAAGGATCACTGACATACTTCCCCTTACTTAAAACCTTCTAGTGGCTTCCCACTACAATGAGGATAAACTCCTCACCTGGGCCTACCAAACCTTGTATGAGATGGCCTTTGCCACACCACGCAATACTCGTGTTTTTATGCTCACAAGCCTTCCTGCCATCTCTTGGGAGTGCCAGGCTGCTCCCAAGGGTCATGACCCTTGTCCTGGGCACCCCTCAATTCATTGTACGAGTCTTATCTCACTCAAGTGATTGAAATGCCTCCTCTGACCCTATCTGATGCAGCCTCTCCCCCCAGCTGCAGGGCCCATTCCCCCATAACCCTATCACCCTTTCTATTTTTCTTTGCAGCCTCGACAACACAGGATATTAGCCCACATTTATTTGTGTTTACATTAGCATGTGCCCTACTAGAGTATCAGC